TTGTTGTTGTTGTTGTTGTTGTTGTTCCTGGTGCTGGTTCTGGTGCTGTTGTTTATTGCTGTCGCTGTTGTTGTTGTCGCTGTCGGCGTTGTCTCATCAGTTGTCTGTATTGTTTTACTTTCCAGAGAACTTTTTTTCACCTGAATTGTCAAAATCACTCTCTTTCCCTTTTGTCAATTCGTTAGTAATGCAGCATTTTCACTCAAGAGCGTACTTTCCGTTCTGTTTTATTTTAGAATTGCGTAAAGTTGGAGCTGTCAGCAAGTGAATCAAAGCCTTTTTCAAGGTAACGTTAAATTTACTGTCTAATGGATATAACAGTTGTGATCAATGTGGTTTACAATACGTCAAACCTCTATACACCTACGATTTTCATGGCCTTGAAGTTTGTAAGAAAAGTTAACGTTATCTTAACTTTTAGCTTAGGATTTTTAGTAAATTTGAGACGTCGAGCGGCAGTATTGGTGGGAACGAAGAGGGAACTACGCGCGCGCGGAAACGAAGAGAGAATTACGCGCGCGCCGTACGTTTGACCACTGTGAGCTATACAACGGCCAATCTAGGGTAGAATTAATTAACTATTGTACGGAGGTTTTAGTAAGTGAGAAATGTATGGACTGACATACGATCGCGATAGCAGTTAAAGTCAGGTAGCTGTTATAGAGAGGTGGTTGTTGAGGTTCGAGTAAACCGCGAAAACAAAAATACGGTTTTCAAACGGCTAATTTACAATCCTTTGATATCAGTTCTAACCTTCCAACTGTGTTATAACGTTTTTCTTTGACCATTTATTATAGTTTTGGAAGTGGAGAAGAAGACGGAGAGGAGTCGTTTGATGACTCTGATGCCAGGCGGAAGCTAGAGGAATATCAAGGAAGTACAGCAGCGGCAGCATCCGCCAACAGAGACCGTGGAAACAACAGAGACGGGCCCAGCGACAGCGACGATAACGGTGCACCCCAGGATGAGCAGCGGCAGGCCGTGGAGGCTGCGGCTGAAGCAGCTGCTGCAGCAGGAATATCTGGGTATTTGCAAAACGGACAGGTCAGTAGGATCAACGGCTGGTGTTTCCTTAATTTATCCACACTATACCAAGTAGGCAGGTTTTGAGAACAAGCCAAGAAACTGTTAGAACCAGTGTCTTGTTAATTGTTAATTCCTTAGCGTGAAATATCCTTAACTTGTTCATTTAAACCGTCGTTCCAAGAATGCGGAACTAAATTAAAATAACGTCTCCTCGCTGCTAATTTTCTCATTTCCTCTTCCTGTCTTGATGATTTCTAAATACGTGACGGATAGGTTAATGAATTTACAGTAGAACTTAACTTACTTTCGCCCGGTCCTTGGAAGCAAAGAACCACTTAGCCAGTCTGTCGAAAGGGCAAATTCTTTAAATTTCCCGTTCACTCTTCTCTATCTCCTTCGGCTTTAAAATATAGTTCTTGACGTACACTCTCATACCGAGAGTTTATACTCAAATCTTTTTTTTATGTTTGTGTTTGTTTTACAGATCGCCAATGGTCAAGATGACAACGAAGTTATTCTGGATGACCTTCCTACCAAACTTACTGGATTAACGGAGGTAACGACTGACTGTGACTGAGGTTGTTGGCTTTCACTACATGAACAGAACTTCAAATTGAAAGAGCCCTGAGAATGATACAAACCCAAAACTGAGGAAAATCTTGAAGGATTACGAACGACTTACAACGCGTCATTCGCTCCTTCAGTCAGTATTTTCCTCGTCGAGGAGTGATTCATTACAATTCCCTTTACAATTTAACATCAGATTTTAGAAGATACATCATGAGAATACAGCACCTGACCAATCAACTCAATTAATAGCCTGGATGCAGACATCTACTGTCATTGTTTCAAGCTACAAAGTTGAACACAGGCAATAGTAGACGTCTGCGCACGGGGTTCTTAGTTAACTGGAAGGAAATTACCCGGACGCGACATTTGAAAATAAATGAATTACAAAGAGGATGACGGTAAAACCTTCTAACATACGCGCGTCTTTGGTTTTCCCAGGCAGACTTGCAGGCTCGAATTGCAGAAGAGCAAAGCCGGACAGAAGGATCCTCAGGTGTCCTCGCTCATCTAGACGGATTTCCAGGTATGGTATCACCAAGAAACCTCCTGGGCGAGCTTCCGACTCTTTTGCCAACTTTTGGCGGACTGTTTTGTTAAATGTTCGTGATGTTTTTCTTTCTCTGATTACTTTTTGCTTAAGCCCTTGGCCATCATGTGCAACACTTGAACAATGCAAACGTGAATAAATGACCAGAATATGATGATAAAGACTTTAGCAAACAGTAATTAGAGAAGTAAGAAACTTCGTGGAACGTCTTAGACGAGTAAATGCTGGGCTCTATTAGTCCCTCGAAAGCGGAAAACTGCAATAAGCCACCTTTAATTAGAAGTCAAGTGAACAGATTTACGCAAGTGATAGCTAAGGACTACTGCGGGTGTTAGAGAAAAGATAAAGCACAACACCAAATATCAGTGTATCTTTTCTATACTTTTTGGAGTGATGTCGGTGGTGGTGTTGTCTTGCAAGTGCTCGCGAGCTTTTCTTCCCGTTCAACACAAGATCCCCTGCGAAACTGATCAATAAGAAAAACAGCTACACTCCTTCTTATCTCGCCTTTCCCTCGTTTCTTCCCCCCTCTCCTCCCTCCCTCTTTTCCTGTCCCTTTTTCCGTTTCACCCCCCCCCCCTCCCACTTCCCTCCCCTATGTCCCTTCCCACGTTTACATCGCCACAATCCGCCTCTTCGTGTTACGACTAATCCAAGCGTAGCGGCAATTTTAGTAATTTGTCTTCAGGGAAGGTGAACGCTGTAGACTAATGCTTGTGTGATGATGTGGCCTGGGCGCTTCTCATGTTATTCAGTTTCCTTTCAAGAGCAGTCCATATAATATGAACAAATCTTTTTACTTTGATTCAGAACTTGCTGGTGATCCTGAGGCCCTTCGCGAGCCAGGTAACTACGTCATTATCGTTTGTTATTGTCAGTAATTATTTGGTTCGTTCAAGGCAGTGGACCGAACAATCGCCGTTTTCGCAGTTTTCCGTGTTCTAGCATCAATGATAGAAAATTGTCGCGATATCTTGTCCGAAACAACGGGACATATCTTGGAAAAGAAATTTCACGAAATAACTTGACTCGGGATTGAGTAAATTCTTACACATTGCAACATGCTGAAAAGACAGAATGTGTTGAAGAAAACTGAAGTACCTTGTGAATTTCGAGAAGATAAATTTGCAGTTTTCTTGAAAAAGTCTGAAACAGTTCTGTAAAATTATTCCCGAAAAAGATTATTTCTGGACTTGGAATTTTTAGAATTAAGGGCTCTTTGCATCAAGTTGGTTCTTCTCTGACTAGTAGTTCTTTACTTTCTTACTTGCAGAGTCATCCGAGAGACCGCTGAACGGTTTGCATGGTGATCCAGATAAATGAACTACACTACAAAATCTCCCTCGACTTCAAAATCTTTTTAAAATGTTTAAAGCCAAAGCACTGGTTATTTTGACGGTGTACGCCATAGTGAATTCGATCTTTTTTCTCTTTGCATGGTGTTTTCTGGTGTGTTCACTGGAGAAAGACTCGAGCAGTTCTAGGCTTATGTGTGGCGTTCTGCAAACACGAAAGTACTCCAGCATAGTTTGCTGGTTCCATTTTGGTAGAAAAATATTTGCTAACTGGCAGGAAATTACTAGTTGCGTAAAGCCCATGCACGTCACTCGAGGTATGTTTAAGCATGTTTCCAAGCCAGATAAGGGTTTTATTGCAGCAGAACCTTGGCGAATACCACGGTTAAATGTCGGAGGCTTTTGATAAGATTAGTTTATACCGACAGCAAAAGGAAGGACGAATGTATGAGATATTTGTTGGGTATTTCCATTTTAGTGAATGGCAACATCTCTTACGTTTGCCCACACGAAAGTCCCTGCTATCGCTTAATTTAATTTAAACGTCATTCTAGTCTTCCGTATTGATAATATATTATGTTATATATATATTGTAAGACCCTGACTTACTCGACTGGAAAATCCAACTTTTTACGCCGTGCATGATAAGCGACGATATTACCCTATGCATCCCTCAATCAAGTTGATCCAGTTTTTTTTTTTTTTTTTTTTTTTTTT